AAAAAAAATCTTGACCCTTTAATTTAAAAAAATATATCCCTTTGGGCCCTATATTTAAAACAGCTCTTTGGATGCATACACAGGATCCATAAAATAAATGACTTACAGTAACCTTGATTACAAATTGCTCATTTTGTGACCGCGACACCACCCTGCCCTATATTTCAGTGAAAATTTGTCGATTACATCTCCCAGCTGTCTAGACGTCTCCACGCGAGTCTCGAAAATTACTCACCCCGTCTGTAGAATCGCGTTTCTTAGGTGAATGGTTGAGTGTAGTGTTGAGAACTATGGCTGTATCTCAAGGAAGGGCGAGATTTCTTTGGCACTCAGGTACAGACGACTGTTGGGATCTGAAACAAAATAAAAATGAAACAAATACGTAGAAACATAATTCTAAATAATGCAACCGGAGGATCTTGAAAAAGCTCCAGTTAAAGAACTGTTTATTTATAGATTTCATTTGAACACAAAGCTCACTTATTTTGGCTCACAAAAACACAGAAGCTCTGTGTAAAAGAATTATCCGAAGAAAGGTATCAGAAAACAGAGGAAGGGGAAGACCAAGAAAAAGACGGGAACAGCTAGAGCATCAATGACTTGATTGGAGCAAATATCAGCCCAGCAGAAAGAGAAACAAATAGTGGTGGCAAAGGGAAACCAAGAGGGAAATGGGAAAATCACTTTCTGAAGCAAGGAGCATTTTCTGATCTGTAGCTTTCCACTCTGTCCAATTTTCACTTTCTTTAAGCTCTATCTGTTTTTTGTTGTACATAATTTTCAAGATAACAAGCTTACAAAAGACAAAACTTTATTTAAAAATTGACATGAAAATTTCTGATTTATTGAGCGAGAACCTAAATATATATGATATCTAAATTAACATTTCAAAACATTATTTTGATAAAGTCTTGTAGATTTTGAAAGAATGATAATGAATACTGCTTGGCATTGTTTTTATAATTTTTTTTTGCATTGGTTGGAAATTTATTATTTTCCGCCTGGTGCTCGATATTGAACAAGGTGACATATCAGAGGTTTTCTAAGGCCACCAAATGTACGTTAAAAATCATTGTGGAACGCTACCAAAGATCGTGTATGTAGAGAACCTTTGACGTTACCAGCTAAAACTCGTTCACAAGGTGGCCTGATAGAATAGATAGAATCTGCGGCAAAGAACAGAACCATGAGAGCACAGACGTCGGTAATGTATGGAATGAGTCAACATAGGTGTAGAGGGAGATGATAAAGAAAAGTCGACCACTGGACCACTGTGTTGAAGGGCGGCCAGGACAAGAACATTGTGTGAGTGGTCACAGATGAGAAGAGGGACACAACATATTAAAGGGACATAAAAAATATTATATCAATCCTGATTGAAATAATGTTATGGACTACATCCCTTTAACCTTTTCCTAATGGCACAAAAAGAAATTTCACTTCCTTACCACGCCTGTTGTGCAAGTTTTCAGAAACATCCTCACCTCCAGTGGCTGGGCCAGCAGGAATTCTGTTTCAAGAAAGAACAAAAATTGAAAAAAAGAAGGATGATTTAAAGGACACACACATCGCAGTCACAAGCCACGACTTTCCATTTACAAAGCTGCCAACTTTTCAAAACAAGAAACAGACTCTACCCACAAGGTGGGTCAAGATGGTGGGTACTGGCCAAGTAACCCCCCTCCAAACCTTCTAAATACATTTTTATGTATTCAATAAATTCACACTCAACAGCTAGCTATGGTAACAGACACAACTACAATGACATATACACACACACACACACACACACACACACACACACACACACACACACACACACACACACACACACACACACACACACACACACTCACTATGATTAAGTGCACACACACAAACACACACTAAACAAGAACAAGACTATGGTTTACTTTGGAATGTCCAACTCGGAAAAAGATGATGTTTTACGTAGAAAGCTTCTCTCCATAGCAACAGCCAGTTGCTCCACCGGTGTGAGGGACCAGTTTTGGTGCTCTTTCAAGCCACTTTCAGCACAGGTAAAAAGTACAGATGGAAACAGCTGGGGGACAGAGAATGCAATTTCCTCACATCAGAAATAATCAAAAGTAGGCCTATGCTCCTAATTTTATGAGTTTTATATATAGAGACATCCATCTGAAGTCAACTTTCTCAATGAGCCTTAAAAGGCATGACTCTATTTCAAATAGTATTTCCGGTGTAGAATTGTGTGTTACACCAACTATATCAATCTATTATCACAGCAAAAACATGTAAATAAACAAACACCAACAATGCGGCAATGACAGGAAGACAGGTTTTCAAGGAGCCTAGTTCCCCCTGATAGATCACACCCATAACATCTTATACATAGATAGTTTAGAACGTCCCTCGCCATCAGCATAACGCTCCTAAAATAGCTCTCTGTACTTTGTCATTCGTAGTGATGAGACTTCAGCCTGATATCTGGTTCAACTGAAGAAAAAAATCAGAGATATTATTTTATTAAGGTTTACCGCCATATGATTATCGGATGAACCGTGTTTGGTTTCAGCAGACTCCACTGTAGTTTGTCTTCTTTTCCCTTTATGTCTCGCTAAAGTCTGTCATTTCAGTAAAAATTCTGTTTCCCGGTTCCTCACCCTCCTCCAGTTTCTGGTTGACCTTTGCTCTCTCCTCGTGTCCAGGAGATAGACCAGGTCTCTGTCACTGAGGCACACACGTTTGTCTTGTGAGCAAATATCTCCCCACTGTAATGAAACAATAAAACCATGTCATAAAGATAAACATTAGGTAACCATCATCAGGTTTGTTTATTGTATAAATCTATCTCAGTATATTTAATACATTTTAATCTAATCATTATCATTTTTGCAACAGAGAGATAGTAACAGGTGTCTAAAAAAAGCGAGGGCCCGTTTAAAGGGCTGTTTAACTTGGTCATCTTTTAACTGGTTTCAACAAAACTTGAAAAAAAAATAAATTCAACCATGGGTACGTTACGGGAGTCAATGTATGACAAACCATGATTTTCTTCCTGTATTATATTTACAGATTTGACGTCCCTACATTAAACATTTTCAGTTTGATAGGAATTATTAATTTTGAATTTTGCCCAGGTGGTGGCCGAAGCCTACTCTTATCGATATTGGACCATCAAGGGATCTTTAAAGTGAAAAACTTAAACATCATGGGATCTTTGAAATTTTTCTCCCTTATCCGAGTTGACCGTGTCTTTGATCTTTATACCTACCATAAGACATAAGATCGCAGGTATGGCTGAAAGACAGCAGTAGGAAGGAGCAAGAAGCAGTAGAAAGGTAACAAAAAGAGTGCAGGAGCCCAGAGGAGGGGGAATTAGGGGGGAGGGGGGGGGGAAAAAGTGATGACGAAAACAGACGACAGAACATGGTTAGAGAGCAGGTTAAAGGAGGGGAAAGGAGAAGATTTTAGAAAAAACATTTTAAATTTCTGTCGCTGTCAGGTTTCGAATGTGGGACATATTGAATGAGAGGAGAACACCGTAACCTCTAGACCACGAGAGCATCAGAATTTTATTTGTTCGAAGTTTTATTGAAATTATAATGTCTAGATGACTGAGTTATTTTAATGGGGTCCTCTTTTTTTTAAAGACACCCTGTATTCAGAAAACTACATTTTCAGGGAGGAGTTCCGCGGAGGGCCGGCACTTACCATGACAAGGTCCAATGAGCAAACTATACAAGAGTTAGTGAGTTAGGGTTAGGGTAAGGGTTAGACCTAGGGTTAGGGTTACGGTTTGGGTCAGGGTAAGGGTTCATGTTAGGGTTTGGGTTAAGGTGTGCTGTTGGTCGGCCGGAGAGAGAGAGGGAGGGAGAGAGAGAGAATGTTTGGGTGTTGATTACGAAATTAGCAAACAAATAGATCTAAGTCTAGATCTAGATTCTAGATCTACGATGCCCTAGATCCTAGATCTAAGCCAAAGAACAGTAAAAAAAAAACCATGAAGGAGGTGATGAAAAAAGACATGCGATGTATGAAGCTTGTTGTAAAACTGCCAAAACGTCTTTTACTATTTTACCCTGGTCACCAACATGGCTCCTAGATCCGCACACACATGTGATCGGCACTCCTGTACAATAGCAGTCCCGTTTGCTTTGCACTAAATCACACTCGATCTAGATCTAGACCTAGATTAGATCTACCCCCTGTAGTAATTTTTATGTGTTTCTTATTTAGACCTAGAATCTAGAATCTAGATCTAGATCTAAATCTAAATTGAATTAAAATGATCTAGATTCTAGATCTATATCTAGTATCTAGATAACTTGGTGCTTTTTCGGTAGTTCTCAATTGCGGGGAGGGAACTAGGCCTACCGAAAAAGCTCCAATATCTTGATTGCTAGATCTAGATCTAAATCTAGATTCTAGATTCTTCTCTAGATCTATCTAGATTCTAGCTAGATCTAGATCTAGATATTAGATATCTAGAGTTAAATATCTAAAGATAGATTCTGTGGGCTATTACCTTGGCTATCCAGAATCTAGATTCTGGATAGATTATCTATATTCACTCCCACAATGGCCATCATGAAAACAAACGGGACCGTATTTGTACAGGAGTGCCTCTAGATCCAGATCTTCCAAAACATCTTGTTCTGGATCAGCAGGTAGCCTCTAGAATCTAGTCACTGAGGTACCAAACACAGCCTGGCTTATTTTCACCCAATAAATATTACCGAACTTTGAACATCTGTAACTAGCTGAAAAATTAAGTAATATTGTTGATTTTGGCATCAAATTTCTCAGAAAAGTAAGCTCTATCCATCTAGCACACCAAAACAATTCTGCGTGAGAAAAATTATGTCAGATTAGACTGAAATAACACTCAAAATATGGTCAAAGAGAGATAACCGTGAAAAATACTGAAGGGATGACTTTTTAGGGTTACCTTCCTTAACTCAAACCCAAAGACTACAGCCTAATGCAATAGCTCACAGAGTGACATTCTATGTGTCAGACATGGGTACTTTCTTACTCTTATCGGCATGTCCGGCGTATCTCCATTTATATGTACAATCTCTGAACCCCCATCCTGCTTCCCACTAGCTTTAGCATTCTAAAAACCACCATTCTGTCCCGAAAAGTTGGCTACTAATTCGTCTGTTGATCCGCGCTTTTCACGCGCCTTAAGTCTATGTCTTCTTAGAGTGGGTGGCATCACTTCCGTTTCCATGGGTGACACCACTTCCGCAAAATGAAGTACTGATTAGTGTAAGATCTTTGCTTGTGCCGGAAATACGCACGAAAAAATTTTTTTATTAAAAAAACATATTACGTTATACAGACAGAAGAAGGTAATTTCCAATGCAAAACAAGTTTACAAGTCTTTCATTCTCTAAAATAATATTTTAGGCGTGATAATTACTGCTCTGCTAACCCACGTGCTTTTAGCGAAACGATACAAACAAATCAAGCTTTTGTAAGATTTTATGTGTACACAATGGCCAATGACGTAGTGTCTACACAAAGAGCGATGACGTGTGTGTGTACGCATTGGATGATGACGTTTATGTGTACTCATTGAATGGTGACGTACTATTTACACAAAGAACGATGACGTCTGTGTGTACTCATTGAATGATGACGTACATGTGTACCCATTGAATGATGACGTAGTATCTACACAAAGAACGCTGACGTTGTTGATATAGGTGTACACATCGAATGATGTCGTAGGTGCGTAGACAAAGAACGATGACGTATTTGGTCCCTTAAAGGGGAATAACTAGCAGCCTGCCATTTCTTAATTTCATTGTTATGTCCCTTGTTTTTGACGGTCTAATATTCGCTTTTTTTCTCTTCAATTTTTTCATTGTTATGTCCCTTGTTTTCACGTTTTATTATTCGCTTTTTTTCTTTTAAATTTATATTTTCGTAATTAAAATTATTTCAACCTCCAAGTGCTATTGCTTCATGAATTTTCCCGGAGCCTCACCATCTAGACGAAATTACAAATTCTATATCTAAATCTAGAGTAAGATCTTAAACTAATTCTTTGGTTTCGAAGTTACCAACCCATTTTCAAAGTTCGATGACGCGCTGCAATTTAAAATTCTTTGTTGACAGTTTGCTATCACTATATCAGCTGAGTCCACATTCTGGCTTTGGCTGTACTAAAGACTTTAGGGAAGAATCTGATCTGAAATATGCCAAACATCATTAGATCTAGATTCTAGATGTACACATCAAAGGAAGAAGCTTCGACGTTCGAAGCCGGGTAGGCCCTAGCCTAACTGCTGACGGATCGGTGAAGTATTACTATAGAAAATCTAGATCTAGATCTAGATCTATATTATCTAGATCTAGATCTAGAATCTAGATCTAGATTCTAGATCTAGATCAGGCCTATTAGTTAAGCTTCTACATCTAGATCTAGAGATATAGATCTAAATCTAGATTAGATCTAGATATAGATCTAGATCTAGATCTAGATCTAGATCTAGAGATCTAAACAACTGAAATGAAATATTGTTTACGCTATGGTCAGCACCGTTTTGTTTCGGTAGTCAATAGATTGATGCCCGATGTCGTGCACTTGTGGTTGTTGATTTATTTATATAGCATTGTGAAGCTGAATCTATTTTGCTATAATAAGGCCTACACAATTAAGTTCTCATTTTCCACACTTTACATTTTGGGTCCTTTTGAGTTACTAACTAAGACTATGACATGAAAAACCAATTGCTCTAGATCTAGATCTAGAATCTACCTGCTCTGTCAAAACACTAGGCCTAGATCTAGATCTAGATTCTAGATCTAGACAGACAGATATAAATCATTGATCTAGTTTCGAGGCTAGCCTAGATCTAGACTGTAGATCTAGATCTAGATCTAGATTCTAGATCTAAAACTAAATGAAGATTGCGGATGTCTTTTCGATGAACGATCGTTTTTCCCCTGTTTTGGAGTTGGAGGAATCACAATTTGAAGAAAAGAACAATGTCATAATTTCAATCGAGCAGTCTCTCTCTCTTTCTCTCTCTCTCTCTTTCTCTCTCTCTCTCTCTCTCTCTCTCTCTCTCTCTCTCTCTCTCTCTCTCTCTCTCTCTCTCTCTCTCTCTCTCTCTCTCTGTATCGCTCGCATTCTTTTTTTCTTTGTTTGTCTCTGTCTTTCGTTCCTTCCTGCCAACTGGCAGACATGTCATATTATATACATTTTGCTAGCACTTCCCCCTGCGCTCTCTCTCTCTCTCTCTCTCTCTCTCTCTTTAACTCACACACACAGACACACACACACACACTACCGGGTCTGGGCGCTGAAACCCTCCGAAATCACAAAAGAGTTCCCCTACCGGGTCTGTATACTTTGTGACTTTGTTCCCGGTTACCGGGTCTGTATACACTTCGATTCGAAAATCCTTGACATTTTGTGAAACTTGAAATTCTTCACATCATATTTCTCAAAACTAGAGATGTAGATTCTAGGTCTAGGTACTGAGCAGATATAGACTATAGACTGTAATTTTCTAAGTTAGCGGTATATATAG